CACTTCCATTCGCAAAATAAATATACATATCCTAAATTCATATAACATTTAATATAAATAAATCCTAACTTTTACATTTATAACTTAATTAAATTATATATAAAACCATATCCTATTCAAATATTTTATTACTTATTCATAATCAATATCCAATCCAAAACCAAAAATATATTAATATCAAGAACTATATCAATACACATAACCGAGAACCTCTTCCAACATATATATCATTAAAAAGATCTGCATAAGCCAGGCCAAAACTAAAACCAGAAATGCTAAGTTAACTAACTCAATCACTTGGGGTTATTAATGTTAATAAATAGCCCAAAAATACGATATCCGGCGGAAAACCCATCCAATACTTAAGATTGAAAAAGCGAAGAACAAAAGGAAGAAACACGCGAAGCCAACAATCCTCACCAAACAAGTGGGGAACATCCAATTTTGATTAGATTACAACAATATTATGGCATTATTCATTATGTGGTTCAAAGCTTACACTTCTCCCTTCTGCGCTCAGATTCATTGCCCACACTGAATTCATATTGATCACCTGCTGTCAGGTTGGCCAGGGCAGCATAACAACGTGGTGTGTGCCACTTTTGGATCAATCACAATTGCGACAGGAAAGGCATGTTAAATATTCGTTTTCGCAAACAATGTTCCTAAGGATGCCTTAGAGCTTCAATGCTGTCAAAACTAAGGTTGAGGGTAAATAATCCACGAGAATCAAATCAAAATTGGTTTGGATTCAGAATCCCAAGCCCTATGGAGGAAATCTTTTTGGAAGGCAAAATCGCTAGCAAGCACAATCCACAAATCAAAGAAGCCACAAAGATGCTTCAACATCTTGCCACACTACATTGACCTGTGAGCTGGTTCATGAAGCCCACAGTAACAAATGCAGCCATCGGCAGATTGCGGCCAACATAGCTTCGATAGAGCCAAAAGCGGCCGAATTTCGGAGACAATTGAAGTCAAAACCCTGATTGAAAGAAAGCACCAATTCAAGCCACGCGTGTTGTCCCAAAAACCTGGCTTGGAACTGGGAGCGCCAATGAAATCGGTTTCTGAGATGAGCGTGAATGTTCTGGGTTTTTGATTCTGAAAGCCTCTAGACGCATTCCGCAATCGTTTTTGTCCAAATGTCTGGCCTAGTTTTCAGGTGCTCCGTCACTTCCATGCTCTTCTCCGCACTAAATCCGCCATAGACGTTATAAGAGTCCAGCAAAGGACCAAAGTGAGGATCCACAGCAACATACAAGAAACAGAAGGCTGGCAAGGGCCCAATGATTTGTGGTTGCCCGCTCGGATGCAAGGGGCAGAACTCCCGCAGGTCAGAAACAAAGAGCTCCGCTGCATCCTCGGCATGACATTGAACAAAGAAAGACCCAACGCAACAAAACCGCAACTGTTCAATGCTGAATTTGTGGCATCTAGCTTATTTTGAAGCCAAACTTGACAAACTGCATACTTGCGTAAAATTGGACCTTATAGAAGCTTCATTCACAGGAGATCCCGCAAAATTGTAAAGGGGGCAAACGTATCATATTTCAGGGTCTTGTCAATGGATTGCCACCCGACAACTGCCAAATCCTTTTGAAAAGAGGTAATGTTTGCTGCTTTGGCGGGTTGAGTAATGCTTGGGCTTCCAACCACCATCAGTTTAACAGGCTTTATCGTCTTGGAAAGCTGGGGTATAATGTTTTCACGAGCACATTCTAAAGTCTTCCACATCAAAAGCTGGGCGGGCTTCCATGAATCTCAACTTGTTCTTCAAGACGGCAAACGACCCAGTGGCATGGTGCACTGTGCTCCCGAGCACTGCGCACTGGAAGAACATGCCGCACGAAGCTGTGAGGGGGTTGTAGATGCCCCATTTCAATGTGCCCAGCTGGCTTTCAGACGTGAAGCCGATGAATCTCGGAACTTGCACGTACAGGATGTAGTTCAACATTAATTGCTCAAAGGGCATAGGGCCTGTCAGCAAAAGAGTCGAAATGTGCCTCATTGAACAAACCTTCTTGTCTTGCAAACAAGCTGAGAAAAGAACACCCGGATGTCCGAGAGAAGCTAGACGCGGGAAAGAATGGGGTGTTCGCAGTTCACCTGCAGCCTTCGCAGTTCAGCCTTTTGCTTTGTTACAATATTGGCCTGACCTGCCTGGCATGTAGTTGGTGGGCTACTGATGCGCGTTGAACTTGAACTTTAGCCCTCTACGTGATGGTGGCTGGTTGATTGATGGTACCTTTTTAGAGGTTTTGACGGCATGAATGGGTGAGACAACTACACATCCCGTCTTTGCGTGTCTGCGGGGCGCCGAATTTTTCCAACATGTGGCCGAATCCAACCTGGGGATGCGGTGAAGTTCTCTCTAAAGCCTGGGCCTTGGTCAGTTTTGTGGGTCGATTCAATGCGCCAAGTCTCCCTGAGGATTTTTAAGCGTGCAGATTTACTAGCTTGAGGTTGTGCCCGGCCCTGCTTGCAGGTCATAGACGTGATCACTTGTCAGTGTAGGTGTAGATGTGGATGCAAAATGTCCATGTCACGCATGTACAAGGTCTGAAGTGATATGTTTTTCTACATGTGCCAAAGACAGGTCCTCAAATACAGGTCTAGAAGTGCAGAAGCAGCAGGTCTTGAGCTAGCATGTCGTTTCAACAAGAACGCTTCGCAGTGCTGCCAGAAAAAATCATCTTGTATGCAAAATGAAAAGCACATTCTTTCTGGTTTGCCTGGTGGTTCCGTCGATGGTAACAGCCTGACCAAGATCTCTAGCGTTTGCATTCTTGCCACGAAGGTGTGGTAGAAGGCACCCACAGCTGCAGTGGGCTTGAACACCCAGAGTCCGCCGTTGGCTTGCTGCCATTGATTCCCAAAGCCTCCCTGGCGACAACACTGCCACTTTGAAACATTGGGAATCAACATTGATACGACCACCTTCCGTGGGAAACCATCCGAGGGGAAGGCAAGTTGGAACCTCAAGAGTCAGTCAGTCAGTCAGTCAGTCAGTTAGTCAGTGCTGCACCTGCTGGAGAAAGCAAATATCAGTAGCGTCCAAGCACTTCTCGAGGGTCTGAGTCCAACCACTACGCCTAAGCTGACGCCAAAATCTGTGGGACCAAAATCTTGGCATTGGACATTTCAGCAGCTTTAGTCTGTTGATGTCTGTTGTCCGTGTTTGAAAAGACTTTTGGTCCAAGGTACACTTGAAAATCCAAGTCCATGACCATCACCATGTGGTCCTGTGACTGTACTGCATCCAAATATGCTTCGAACAGAATCAGCAGCCTCCAATAGTTCCAACCGTAAACCTTACTACTCCACACTTCAGCGCCAGCAAGTGAGAATCCATGCTGGCTGGTGTCCTTTATCTCCGTCACCCAGCGAACCGAAACTCGAAGAGGTTCTTCAGCACGGCGGAAGGTGGAAAGAAGCTTCTCCATGGTGCCCACATAGTTTGGCGAAGCCATCAGCCAAAGATGTGGCACTCGTTTTACTTTTCGACTGTCTGTGCTGCCTTGGCACTCCTCCATTTTGGATTCTCCAACACAGTCTTTGGCAGCTGATGTGACATTTTCGGCAACTCCAAGGTCAAAATCGTCCCGGCCTACAAAGCTATGCTGCATCCATGTCTGGTAACCAAAGTGCCAGCAGGATCTGCTCATGTTTGTAGACCATGGGAGGAGGGTGACCTGCTTGCCACCCTCAGAAACCGACAAATACTTACCTAAAGTAGACTTGCCTTCTTGTGCCACTCGCAGCCACATGCAGGGCTCGCTATCCACCGACTGTTGATTCTCACCTTCTCTGACAATGTCCCAAGTTTCTTGCTTGCAAGATTCACTGAGAGACAAACCATCAAACATGCTCGATTTGGTTGCAGCCTTTGGACCCTGACTACATAGAAATTCCTTCCCTCGCCGAATCGTTACCCTCGCCCTCACCGTGAAAGAACTTGAGTGGATGCGAGCGCTGCGAGTGGAAGCCAGTGTCACTTTCCAGAGATCGGCGCAAACATCTTTCAATGCCACCGATGGCTCCTGGTCAACTGACATGCAAAGCTGCTTCCTGAGTTGCCAAGTGCTTCTAGAAGACATGGACCTGGCCGTGGAAATCGTCACAAGGCCATCGTCTGGCACTTGGCCATATTTCGGCAGATCCTCTCGAACGAAAGTCGCTGCTCCAGAGAATGTCGTTTTCAGAACTTCACACTGGCCGTAGAGCCAACACAAAGAGCCTCCGCTTAAAGCTCCACTGATTGAGCCCATTTCAACTTTGAACTCGTCGTCCAAAGGCGCACGAATCAGGGAGTCATCCAGGAAGGACACGTAAGAACATTGGCTTCCAGCCACCTTCCGCAAAGAATAAACTTTTCTACACTCAGCCGTTAGATTAAGATCAAAAGCCGTTGAGCCAAACTGAAATCACTCGTTTCCCACGGAAGTAGCAACCATATGCTGGTTCAACGACGACAATTTTGGATTGGTGTTCCGAAACGTCAGCATGAACCATGGAACAAGGCCTCCCCGCCTCACAACTTCGTAAGCAGCCTGCCAAGTCTTTGTTGTGCCAAATCTCTAGCGGCTCGGTGCAGTGACCAAACCCTGCCGAGAAAACACAACCGCGGGAGCTCAAAAAGAAAGTGTTGAACATGTGAGCCAAAGCCCGAGGGCTGCACTATTGTAGCTTTCAAGTTGGAGGCCATCGCAATTAGGGGGCCATCGCTTCTAGGGTGGAGGCCATTCCTATTTATTAGGTTGGAGGCCATTGCTTTCAAGTCCATCGGGTTTACAAAAGCACCCAAAAGAAAGCGATGCTCCTACCAAAAATGTTTCCCAAATTCAAATCAACGGCAATCAATGGTCATCACTTCCTTCACAACCTTTCAACCTTCGCGTCCGCATGCCTGCCAAAACCCATCTAGCATCACTGAAGCCATGCAGGAGCGCAAGGATCCATGCGCACGCAGCAAGCCTTTGAGTCATGGCCAGTCCGACTGAGATGGTGCGTGAGGCAGGGGATACGCGGAATGGGAGAGACTTGTCCTGTCCATCTCCTTTCTTCAGCCATTTATGGCCGGGACTTGAGCCTCCGGGCACATTCGCCATGGAACGGATGTTTCAACGAACATCGACATGCCTCCAGTGCCGCCTCCCTTTGATATGCATGAGAGAAGAACCCTTCCAACCAATCTAGATGTGAGATGTCGTGAGAAGGTAATCTTTCTGGCGCTGATTTGACACTGCGTGGGCCTCCACGCTACAAGCTCCAGGATCATCTAAACCTGCAAACATGCCGAGTTTTGAGTGGGCCTGGAGTGCATGAACTGTGCCAATGCCAGCCTTGTGGAATTTCCAAACACGTAAAACTATCATAACATATCTAAACATCACACCACTAAGATGATTGCAGTGAAGGTCTTCTGGATCTTTTCTTCGAACATGAAATCACGACGTTCCAGAAGGCTTCCTCATCTTTGGATCCTTCTCAACCAGGCAGATGTTGCGCCAGCAACGGAGGCCTACAACCGAAACTTGATCTCCCAGGACTTGAGGTCACTTCTACAGGCCTTGCCAACCGACCGGCGATCTACTAATTATAATAGCTTCTCGTTACTAGTAGTAAGGCACCTGTTACTACTAGCGTGGCACTTGTTACTACTAGTCACAAGATGGGACTCGTCACTTGGAAGAGAAAAAAATAACCGACACCGTGTGCCGCCTGTGCCGCCTGGGTTCTCCTCACGCACTTTGGAGATCAAGAGAGCGCCCATCCCGCGCCGCTGCCGCCACCCAAGGAGTGGCATAATTGAAAGCCCTGTAGACAATCAGGATGCCAAAAGTCCTGGCTACTGAGATTCACAGAAACCTAAGGGACAGCAAATCGTCCGTTTTGCATTTCCGGCGCCCAACCAGCGCCCCAAAATGGGCAAGGATATTCTCCAATCCTGAGACATGCTTCTGTGTCAGCTTTCGTCTTATGGAAGGGCGCCCCCCTCGCTCTCCGTGCCGGAGCTGCTGAAGCAAGGTGGCTTCATGGTTTTGGGGGACTCAAATTTGCTTCAATGTATAGTCATTTGCCTTTGATGCAAATCCACTCCACTCTTTCTTGACAGGCTCAACTTAAAAAAACTCGGCTTCCTTGCGCACCTCCAGGACGGAGTCCATCAGCTCGGCTCCCTCGGTGTAGTGCCTCGGGCCCGGGGACGGCACTGAGGCACCGAGGGACATCGGGGGGCGGTTCCATCTGGCCCTCGGATGGAGCTTCCCAAACCCTATAAGTCAGTTTGACCTCATTTTGCTGCAGATGGTCATACAAAACCAGTACTCAAGGAGGTCAAGGACCAGGTTTAACTTGGTCCTTGGACTCACAGGGAAAGGTCGGACGTGTTTCCCGTTGAAGACCAGAAGCTCCACGGGACCAGCTGGTGCAAGACCAGGACACTTTTCTTCGGTTTTCTGGTCCGAAATTGAGTTTGGAAGGTGCTCTGCAGGCACATTCAACGATTCCCAAAGCATGCGCTCCACGCGAAACTGTGAAACATTCCATTCCCCAGTATATGGTGTAAAAGGGCGCTTTGCCACGTAGAGAATACTAAACCAAAAAGCTGGGGAGCCTGTGACCCACAACAAGTCCACCTGTCCTTTGGTTTCCAATTCCAACGCCCCAGTTCTCGGCTAAGCTCCAGCACCCACAGGACCTTGTTGTATCGGCTGTGAAGGCACCTGCGATGCATATCAGAGACCAAAGGGCCAATAGAAACAAACCTATGGCAAGAAATTCTGACCCATACCGTCTAGTGGTGTGCCGGGACCTTTGCAGAGCCTCTTCTGCAAAGAGCGGAAATACCCACAACGCTTCCCATTCTTATGTACACCCAGACTCAAAGAGAAAATCCAAGGGGAATCAGACACGCGCAATTAAACGCAGACTGTGGAGACACTTTAAACGCGTTCATGGGAAGCATAAACAGCTCTGAAGGGCTCAGGAAGCTTGGCCAAGAAGAGAAGAATCTGAAACGCTCAAACTTGAGTTCAAAGCATTTCAGAAAAGGGTTAGTTACCAAAGAGTTTGACCCTCAAAAATCTTATAAGAATAGAAGAGATCAATTGCCTTACAGCATACCACTTATGGCATAACCAAGCGACAGCCCAAAGTCATGAAAGATGCGGGTGTTGGAATAGTTATGCATACCAGGTTCAAACCTTACCAAAACGAAGTAAAACAAATTAAGTCGACGAGTGATGGCGTTGAGGTTTTCCTCTCGCGGAACACCCACAGAACTCTATTCTGCTGCACTGCAGACGGGACATGGGACCGACCTGACAGCACCGAGGCTGTGATACACAGTGAACGTCCGAAGAGGTCGGACGTACCTTCGATGGAGTGACCCAGGCGACCGGTTCACCGGGACCGAGAACGTGGTGGATGTTTGGCACCCATTCGCGACGGTTTTTGGAAGACCGATTTACGACCAAACCTCCATCGAAACAAGCAACGTAGCGGGGAAACCACCACTCCTATAGTGCTGAAACGTGCGCACGAGGCAGAAGTATCGCAACCATTGCACCGATGTACAAAGCCGTACCGATTTAGACCTGAACACGGACCATCTGATCGTCGAAATGAAAGTGCGGACTTTTCTTGAACCGTATCCCAACATTTTGAAACCTAACCAAAGCCAATGGCGACGAAATAGTAAGTCAGTGTCAGCTTTGTTTACACCTACCTCAGACACAGATCAACCATGGAAGAGTTTCAACAATGCTATTTGCAGCGCCGCAGATGAATGTCTGCCCAAAGAGCACCGCCAGACTAGAAAAGATTACATGTCCAGGAACACTTGGGATCTTATCCACCAAAGGCAGGCCCTTTACTTGACAGGGAGTCACGAAGGAGTATCTAGCCTCAATAGACTGATTAACAAGAGCAGATAGGAAGCAGCACATAGTGAATCAGTTCAGCACGACCCCAAAAAACCCAAACAAAAAGAGCATTATGGAAAGTTGTTGATCATCTCAAAAAGAATTACAAGCCTGCTTATATCAGGATGCGCAACTCACATGGTAGACTTGTCCGCTGAAGGAGCGTGCTGAAACTATCGCGGCATACTTGGAAGAGAAGCATTGGTCCAACGATCATGGGCTCTTTACAAAACCAAATTGGAGGAAGAATTATCTGTCATAATACACTTTTCACTATTGAACAACTACATGAAGTGTTAAAAAAGACAAAGCTTGGAAAGCAACCGGGCCCCAACCAAGTAGTCATGGAATTATACAAATGGCTTGATGCAGTAAATAGGCAACGTACCTTCCGATCTCTTGACAGCTAGAATGGTACCAATTTACACGAAAGGTGATATTGATGACCCAGCAAATTACCGTCCAATTTCGTTGTTGAATTCTACTTCCAAAATCTTTGTTGCTTCAATAAGGGATCGAATACAGCAAGCGGTAGACCACAAGCTGTCAATGACACAATACGGCTTCCGACCAAATTGGTCGACAGCCCACGCAACTTATATCATACGTAGACTGCAAGACTGGTCAGCACAACTGTATATGGCCCTTATCGATTGGGAGAAGGCCTTTGACAGGGTGCAACATTGTAAGCTGCTTGACTCATTGACCAGGCTTAGGATATCTACGCACTTTGTACAGATTGTCAAAGCTCTGTATCAAGCACCAAGCTCCTTTATTCAAGATTAATATGGTACCTCCAAACTCAAGACGCAGAAGACTGGAATCCGTCAGGGATGCCCTTTAAGCCCTTATTTATTTCTTGACTTGCGTTGACGATCAGGCAAGATCCAGATGTTCTCGACATATTATTGATTTACGGATTCCTGGTGTTGAGTAAACAATACAAATGACACTATTCTGTTCTCTACGACACCACGAGGTCTTAATGAGCTTCTCAAGCATATAGAAGATTGCTCAGAACATTACATTGATCGAGCAAAGTGCCATGTCATCACTATGAACAGTGTTGTTAACACACACTTACTTTCAGGATTACACGCATCGTCAAATGTTTTCACCTAATTTCCAAACATATTACAAATCTATCTAAAATAAAAATAATTATCATTGCTTCCTCTATGGCAATTTCCCTGGATGAATAGGACCATAATGCAAAAAATGCTAACTCCAAATCGGAAAACGGGCGTTAGATTTAATCCCGTTCTTGCACCGATTTAGAGCCAGCATTTCTCACATCATAGCCTTGTCCCTATCCAACCCAAAAAGAAAATTGCAATTCCTATAAATTTACTCTTAATTATTCCAATGATTGTAAGATTTTCAATAACTACAAAATTTGCAATTATAACGTATAACGAAATCAAATTCCGAACAAAACTCATCTCATAAAATACAAAGATCCAATGCAAAAATAAAAGCAATATTTTTTACAATAACATCGACTCAGGATTTTCTTGGCCAAAATAAATTCTTAAACTTGTGTACCAATAGAGTTATTACCAAAACTTTTGTTAATGTATTCACAGCTATTGTAGCTATTAGCTACTCTGTAGCTAAGGAAATTAACAAAATGATATATCAAGAATCTACTTTCCTTTCTCAATGGGTCGAACCAGGATTGGGTCGAACCTTCGCAACTTGCATGTCGAATGGTACAGGGAGAGATGCCCCCCAAAACAATTGGAATGTGTTTGGTGGTTCGAGCCATAGCCATGTGGACTCATGTGGACCAAAAGCATACGAGCTCCACTCCCTCCCTCCGATGGCAAGGATCCTGTTTGTGTGCTCGTCTAACACCCGTCGAAGCATGTCACTCGACCCACATCCACCGGCCGGAACTGCGTTGGCCTCTTTCTTACACGCTTTGCACCGCTTGAAAAGTTTCAACAAGCTTCAGCAGAGTCCGTTGGTGCATATCTTCTGGAGCCTCCACAAAGTCATGAAGCTTATCAAAAGCGATGACCATATTCCTGCAGCCATCTTTCCTTAGGGTCGCTCAATCAGAGACAGTCACAGCTGGCAACTGCAAGCAGTCGCAGTCGCAGCTTTAAGCGGTGTCCCTTCCTCGGCCAGACCTCGAATCAACCCTCTGAAGCCTGAACAAATGACCATGGTGGGACCCTTTTTGTTGCACGTGAAGCTCCCACAAGTTCGATGAAGAGGAATCCTCCTGTTCACCTACCTATCTGTTTTACCAAATCCCTTGCTTTTGTGCTTTAATATCAGGGGCTCCTGGCCTTACTACTAGGAGCAAGGATTCCACTAGTAGCAAAGTTGGCCCCTTTTCACTCCTTCACTCAAGTTCGCTCGTTCAGTTAATCTGTAGATCAGCTCCTGCCACCAAACGAATCGACGGGACTCCTTGTTCTTTATGTCATCAAGGTCATCCCGGCTTTTTCCAGCGGAGCCTCATTCCAGGGGCACATTCTAGGTGACCAGGTGTGCCCTGCCCAAGACCCAGGTCAATGGAGCTTTGCTGCAGGAGTTCCAACAAGCCTCTGGGTGTAAACCATCCAGATCTGCTGGGCTCCTTGTTCCGTTTTCCCCTGGCTGAACGCGGTGTAATTGATCCAGGTATACAGGATGTCTGTTTCAAATTCGATTAAAATGCATTGATTCCGGCTATTGCATGCAAAGCTCGGACAGAAAGAGCTGCAACAAACATCCCCCGTAGAACAGCTCTCTGGGGGAAAGCCGCATCTATCAAAGTCTTAAAATAGACTCATTGCTGCTAGTTGGCGAGCAGAATTTTTTGAACTGCTGAAGGTTTGTTACAACTGCTGAAGTTTCATTCATCAAGGCGGAGAAAACCCAAGTCGTCAGAACGAAAGACAACCGACTCGATTGCGGTCGCTGGCTTGCAGCCATCCGCCGCCAAAGGGGTGTTCAGCTTCCAAGTTCATGAAAACAACCCACATCAACCTGACCTATTGATCCATCCCTTGAAGCCTTGGGTGTGGTCTTAGCACCTTTTGATATGAACTGAGCCTTGTTGTGCTTGGCTACTGTGCTTGAGTCCTCCCGGAAGTCTAAGCTCTCGCGGTTGTGCTCCAGCACAATGGTCCGCTCACAGCTGGACAGCGCATGGGCCAAAACCGATAAGAAATTGTCCAATGAAACACCGCTGCCCACCAAGTTGTGAAGCAAGCAAGATGCCTCCACCAGCCTGGTTTGCAATAGTTTGGAGAAAATGCAGCAACAACGATCCAAAAATGGGGCACCAATAAGGTCAGCTGGGAGGTTTGATTTTTTTGGCCAGAGAACACACTGTTTCAGGGATGACTAGACTTCTCACAGCCTACAGGCTACCCCTCTATCTAATTCCTACAAGCTCCAGAAGATACACACAAGGGAAAAAACATAAACATTTGCCTTTTCCTAAACAATCTAACAGCCCCCAAACACCACTCGTGAGCAGTTTCCATCTGGCGGATGACCTCTACCGCCAAAGGCTTCCACTGGCAAGCACCTCATTTCGAACCTCCACCTTCAAACCCTCCTCCACAACCCTGCTCCTGAACCCTCCCTCAGCCTTTCGTCTGAGACACCACCCAAAAAATACCTGATGCAAGCCAAAGAAGAAGACTGGCTAACTCTGTTGCCAAAGCCGCTCCGGAGGGCGCAGCAAGGATATCTGTTCGAACTCCTCCAGGCCGACGTTGAGCCGATGGAGCTTGGGGACATCCAGTTGCACGTATTTGCCCAGAAGCACCGCTTCGACGGAGCCTGGCTATGCCGAGAAACTTATGACGAAGAAACCGGTCTTTTTAGGAATTGTTGCACAGCATCGCACTGCAATCTGGCAAAATCACTGGTCACTTGGGTGGGCTCGACGAGAGGAAAAAGACCCAACCCTTTCCAGCGATTTCCCCGAACATCCGTCGCAAGCCCAGCGGCCTGTTTCGAACTCCTGGAAGCCATACGGAACGACGTGGGTGATCTCGATCAAGCGCGGAAAATGCTGCACTGAACGCAGCACTGCGAACAATGCAGCAAGATGCTTGACCTCATCTCCCACAAACTGGGAACAGGTTTTTCAGCCAGAAAGCCAGATGGAAACCTAGGAAACAACTTCAAAACATAGCTTGATAAAAACCTTGACAGCGAGATAGGAGGCATAGGCGACTCCTAGGTGGGGCAAGGGCGTAGGAGGCATAGGCGACTCCTAGATGGGCAGGGAGATAGGAGGCGGCGGACGGGGAGATAGAATGAGATAGGTGCGGCAAAAACAAGTGGCTCCAGCCCCTAGGTTTTCAGCCAAGCCGTACGTGCTCTTCCAGGGCACACGACGGAGGGAAACCTGATAGCAGACCATTCTGATGGGCAAAGCACTTCCCCTTTTCGCTTCTTGCATGCAGGAAAGAACAAGCAAATACAAGGTTAGGAGAAGCAGGGAACTGTGAAGGCACACTGTGAAGGAACCTTCACTGGTTGCTGAATTGTGGACCCTCACCGGTTCAAACGGACCTGGCATGAATACAACCTCAAGCCCCAGGCAAACGAAAAGGCCAGTAGACTTCAACAAAAAACATCGGGCAGTAAACCCGACATCAAATCCAATAGAATTCAGGTCGAGGACCTCCTATTCATCCTTTTGACAAATCCAACCCCCGCGTTGATCTGAACCCAAGTGGCGTATTTCCGAGTGAGCTCGTCACTATCACCAAAGCGGACCTCTCCGCAGCGCAGATCAAAGCAAAATGGCCGTACATATCCTGCAGAAACCAACGTGATGGACGGAACCAACTGTGTAATATGCTACAAAATGCTACAATGAACACAACCATATTACTATCACATACCTCCACAGAAGAACCCTAGAACAACGAGGTACATAGTTCTTTTCTGCGTTCTTCGCCGCTCAAAGTCCCTGTGAGTCGAACAAACATGCGAAGAACAGGCGAAGTGTGCGTGGCGGGAGTTATTTGGATCAGGTAGAGAATGGTAGAGAATCTACTGCTTTCAAACGTCTTGGTTTGGACATCAGACTTGTCTGACACCTCTCTCAACCGATTCGCTCTCCTCCACTTGAGAAGGTGCCAAGGTAGACGCTCTCGAAGCTGAGATTGGCGAGTTTCACGTGTCCAACGCCCAGGCTGAGGATGTTGGACAAATAGACCACGGTACCTCACGTGCCCGGATTCTGCATTGGACGGCGGCACAGAAAGGAGTGCACCGGTGGCTGGGCAAAAAGGACCGATGTAGCCAAAGTATGCTTGAAGGTGTTCAGAAGGATGCTACTAGGGGCCAAGTGGCCTTACTACTAGGAGCAAGGCAAGGGTGTTACTAGGAGCTCCTGGCCTTACTACTAGGAGCAAGGACGCTACTAGGGGCCTTACTAGGAGCTCCTGTCCTGGCCTTACTAATGGGAGCAAGGACGCTACTAGGGATGCTACTACCTGGCCTCACATATCCTGCAACCTTCAAACCGAGACTTGAGTCAAGCTTTGGTGCATGCCAGCGCTAAAAATCTGTGGAGCTTTTGAGACTACGCGTGAGATGTGAGCATACGTCCATGATGACCCCCAACAAAGAAAAACAAAAGACAAGACTTCTACTCGGTGCCGATGAAATATCCGGTGGTTTGTTCAATGGATGAATCCTCCCACCCTGCCCCCTGCCCTAGCAGGTTCTTCCCCCCTCTTCACAACGTAGAAAACCTTATCAACTCATATCCCTTCGTCCATGGGTCGATGTGCTGGATTCACTATGTCCGGCAGATCTTTGATGAGGTCCTTTTTGAGGTAGCGAATCTTGGTGTCCAGCGCGTCTCGTACTCGATTAAAGGTGGCATCAGAGCCTCAAACACTTGCAAATGCGCTGTTGAAGAAGGGAAGGTAATCCAAACACTCCGTACTCTCCGGAGCCAAGTTGGCATACAATGCAGGCATCTTCAAGTGGCCCCGAAATCTGAACACACGTCGCCAATGAAAGGGGGTGGGCATTACGACTATTCAGCAAAAACCATTTTCTTTACAGAGCAGGGGGGCCACGGGCGTCCCGAAAACACGATAAAATCGCGATTTAAAAGAACTAAAGATATAGTGCACACATATCAAAACACATAGCACAACAAAATAGTTAGTAAACACATATTAAACACATCTTTTCAAAACATATAGGAAAAACAAAATGTACGCTCTATATTTTAAACAAAATCAAACGGTATTAAAAACAATCGATGAAATTCCAAGACTAGCAGGTTCTGAAGGGGTCGGATTATCTTTCTTTTGGGCCGAACCCCTCCGCCCTTGCTGGGGCCCCCCCCGCCCCCCCCCTTCTCGATCCACAGGAAATATTTGAATGCATTATTTCAAAGAATGCAAAAGACTGTACAAGAATATATAATAAGTAGTTAACGTTTCAAACATTAAACTCAACCATGGAAATGTTCCCGTGCAGCCATACCCGCAATCGAGCGACATAGACGAGAACAGAATGCTTTACATTGATAGGTTCCATAATTGGAACTTCAAATTTTTCATAAAATTATCATGTAGAAAAAATATAGGGGCTCCTAGCACACTTTTCGATCGCGACTGGTGTGGGCGTTCCAAAGAGCCCATACTGGAATGTCCTTTTTGGACTATTCGCTCCAGTTACTCTAGGCCTTGCTTGGCCAAACGACACTGCCCCATGCAGGCAGGTTTCTGTTCTCTTGATACCCTATGCAGGTATCCTTCTATTCTCTCAACTTTAACTTATCAAGATGCCCCCATGCAGGTGATGACGCGGATCCCAAGCTTTCAACAAAAGCTTAGTGCGGTCAGGGAGGATCAAGTCTGGCAATTTTGAAACACTGCCGGAGATGTACATGCGTGCGACGCGATGGCTAGACCATCTCCCTTTCAGGAGTGCAATCTCCATGCTGCCAGTGGATTGTACCAGCCAAGTCGCTCCTCCTCTTCTCAACGAGTAGGGTCTGAACCCTAAATGCTGAAGCTTAAATCTGCGGAGATAGGAATCAAAATGGGCGCGGAAAGCTGAATCCCCAAAGGGGTTTGTCAAGTGCCTCATGAGAATCGAGCAACTCACGCAGGGTTGCAATGAGGAGGAGGAGGACAAAGGTCTCATTGGTGGTTACCATCTCGTCCGTTGCATTTCTCCGCCCTGTTCTTGTGTTCTTGAGGGAAACGACCACTTGGTTCTTGTTCAAAAGCAAATCGCGACCCTTAAGGTTCAGCAATTCACCTGTGCGAAGCACCGTGAAGAAGCCGAGACAAAGCAGGCTTGCAAACACAAGGTCGTCGTGACACAGGGCGTAATACGCCAGACTCAACACTATGTCACATGTCAACGGTGGGGCCCTTGCGGGCCACTCTAGCTTCTTCCACGTTGCAAAGAGCTTCCATGCAGTGGGAATACGACGGCGGGTCAATGGCTGAAAGAAGTGAAGGCCGGAAAGAGCATTAGACATCCTCCCATGCCAACTCGACCCACTCTGCACCTCATTTTGAACATCCTCTATGAAAATCTTGAACGCAAAGAAGAAGCAACACTTGAGAACTTGGTGGCTAGAATGAACAGATACGACAAGCAGTTGAAGGTCTTAGGTGATACACTAAATCTTATGAATGAAAAGATTGATACATCAACTAAAACGATGAAAACGTTTTTGGATAAAGGAGGTGATAAAAACTGATGATGAAAAAGAAAGGATTGATAAAATCTTTGCTTAAAAGCATAGGCAGACCTGCGGAGGATTACAACAGCAAAAGGGAAGCTTTTTATGAGATGATCAGTTCAGGCAAAATCAAAGCCCCTAAAAGTCAGACACTTGAGTTCTATAAGATTGATTTTGATGAACCATCAAGCAAATACACCTTGCTTGACGAAGACTAGATTTATACTCATTTGTATAAACCGTAAATATAAAAATCAATTGATTTGTCTCCCAGGTCTGTCACTGCCGCTGTCCGCCCTTTTCGGCTGGCGATGCAACATTTCTATTCATTTGTCTCCCAGGTCTGTCACTTGCGGTGTCCGCCCTTTTCTGCTGGCGATGTAGCATTTCTATTCATTTGTCTCCCAGGCCTGTCCGCCCTTTTCTGCTGGCCATGTAGCATTTCTATTCATTTGTCTGCCACGTTTGTCACTGCTGGTGTCCCCCCTTTTCCGCTGGCCATGTAGCATTTCTATTCATGTGTCTCCCAGGTCTTTCACTGCTGGTGTCCGCCCATTTCCCAGCACTGCTGGTGTCCGCCTTTTTCCGTTGGCCATGCAGCATTTCTGTCACTGCTGGTGTCCAGCATTTATTTATATTCATCTCCCAGGTCTGTCACTGCCCTGTTCCGTTGGCCATGCAGCACTATTCATTTGTCTCCCAGGTTCCGCCCTTTTCCGCTGGCAATGCAACATTTCTACTCGTTTGTCTCCCAGGTCTGTCACTGGTGGTGTCCGCCTTGTCTGCCTTCTGTCTCCCTTTGTGTCCGGTCTTGTCTCCCTTTTCGTTGGTCATTGTGTCCGTCTTCCCTTCTTGTCTGGTCTTGTGTGTCCGTCTTGTCTCTCTTTTGTATCCTTTTGTCTCCCTTCTCGTCTCCCTTCTTGTTGGTCATTGTGTCCGTCTTGTGGGTCATTGTGTCCGCCTTGTCTCTTTTCTGCTTCCTTTTTTCTGCTTCCTTTATCTCCGGTCTTGTCTCTCTTCTTGTTGGTCAGTGTGTCCGCTTTGTCTCTTTTCTGTCTCCTTGTCTGCGGTCTTGTCTCCCTTCTTGTTAGTTAGTGTGTCCGTCTTGTCTCCTTCTGTTCTTTTTGTCTCCCCTCTTGTCTCCCTTTTTTCTTTTCACCTGTCACTGTGCCTGTCTTGTCTCCCTTCTGTTTCCTTTTTCTCCCTTCTTGTCTCGCTTTTTGTTGGTCATTGTGTCCGTCTTGTCTTCCTGCTGTTTCCTTTTGTATCCCTTCTTGTCTCCCTTTATGTATCCTTTCTAGTTGGTCATTATGTCCACCTTGTCTCCCTTCTGCCTCCCTTTGTATCCGGTCTTGTCTCTCTTCTCGTTGGTCCGTGTGTCGGTTTGGTTTCCCTTTTGTTTCTTTTTGCTTCCTTTTTTGTAGGTCACGGTGTCCGTCTTGTCTCCTTTCTGTTCGCTTCTTGTCTCCCTTGTTGTCTCCTTTCTTGTTGATCATTGTGTCCGCTTTGTCTCTCTTCTGTTTTTTTGGTCTCCCTTCTTGTTTCTCTTCTTGTTGGTCATTGTGTCCGCCTTGTTTCCCTTCTGTTTCTTTTCGTCTCTGTGGGTTTGGTCTCCCTCTGTTTCGCGTTGTCTCCCTTCTTGTCTCCGTTCTTGTTTGTTAGTATTGTGTCCGTCTTGTTTCCCTTCTTGTTGATGTTTCAAAAAGTGGACTTGGGAATGCTTCGTTGTTGTCTAACCTGTTTGGGGTCTGCGGTGGTGTAATTCTTGGTTTGAATTCTTCAACAATCTTCTTAGGAGGTTTGTTGAATAGTTCTTGTGATTGGATGTTGCTATGGTTTATGGTTTTGGCTGGTTGTTTGAGTCCTGGGGGGTTGAGGAGGAGGAAGATGGGCAAGGGCTATCCTAACTATAACCCTGAACATTTTAGTATGAAGAACTATAAAGTATATGACTAGGTTTTATCATCTTGTTATTTGCAGAAAAACTTATTGTATATGATGTATATTTTGAACAGTCAGTTCTTTTGAGATGAGCTGATGAGCTCATAAGAAAAATGATGAAATGAAAAAATGGGACGCCCACAGTCCCCCGCCCTCTTTCTTTAAACGTCAAATTGCCACAGGTCAAGGGAGAGCTGCAGAAAATCCACCCTCACCAAAGGTGATGAGGCGCTGTGTAGTCTTTGAGGCAATCAACAGCCTGGAATAAACAAACCGGAAGCTGCTAGATAAGCAGCTTAAGCTTTAGCTTGGGGAAGGCACTTGTGTGTCTAGAACATGGGCTTTTGAAGCTTTTGAAAGTGGAAAAGTTTGATATCATGTGTATGATTGTCCGTATGGCTTCCGAGGTAAACGTTCGCGATGCCGGTTACGCAGCCCGGGAGCGACTGCATTATTGCATTATTGACATCGTGGGTGTGTTCGTCCGCGTGTCCTGGCCGACCGAGACAGACAGACTGAGACAGACAGACCGAGACAGACATACCGAGTCTCCGAGACAGACATACCGAGACAGACCGGCTCTGAGCACAAGTTGCTGCCTCCCACGTGGGATGCTACTGAGAGACATCAACCCATTTAATCTGTGCGGGCAGCTTCCACCGCGAAGCGGTGTGAATACACGTGTTCTTTTGCTACTGTTAAGTACGAGAGCTGCAAAAGGTACTTGGAGGCTTTGATTAAATGGTTTGGGTGTTGGAAGTGCCAATGACGAAAATCATATTATCAGAAGAATCTAAAGCTTGTGCAGGTGAAGGATGAAGAGTGGTTGGTGACCTATGTTCAGTCCATGTTAGGTGAATTCAGGCCCCGCGAGTCCCAATGCGTCCGTCTTTTTCCGAGTGGGCTGGACCTTTCACGCCGAGACGACCGGGTCAACACTAACGACTGCTTCGGCTACAGACAAGTAAACATGCGTTCCGCTGCAATGCAGCAGTGCTATTGGCCGGAAAAAAAAGGCACCCACCTTTACCCTTCCATGCCCTTCAAAAAATAATATGGCATTTGGGGCATCCACCAACTAGAAGATTGGGTGATCATCTTGCAAGTGTCCATCTTCGTGGCCAGTCTAGTACTTCCCAGAACTCCCTTCCCCAGATCCGCCGGACCACCCCACTCGGCGAAAACCATGTCGTTTTGCTGTTCGGTGACCGGGTTCCCCGCCACCACTGGCCAAGGAGCGAAGCCAACCCTCGCCCAGCTGGAAGGAGCAGTGGAAGAGGGGCTCGTTGGGACGGATGACAGGCCCTCCTTGACCGAGAGAGATGGGAGAAGAGAGGTTCAGACACCAACGCCGTGAACTCAACTTTTCTTCATGAAAAGGGCTGGACACTCTCGAGTGGCGGAAGGCTCGCTGCCACTGGTGAGGTGTTTCGGGTGTTCGGTTCCGTCCGCAGATCCAAAAGTCCCAAAACCCCGCGAAGGGGGGCCATGGTCGAAGTACGACTCGTTGAGGGACGAGCACTTTTTGATACTTGTTGTGGTTTGTTTGGAGGGGATCCTTGGAACTCAAGCACCGACAAAGGATCCTTGGAACTTGCGCCGACTTCTTCGTCGGTTTCGGCGTGGACAAAAACGGAGTCTACTAACATCTGTGATCTTCGAGCGACTCAAGTGACGCAAATTGGGTTCTGATGTAAACCATTTCGCTACTACCTCACACCCTGCATACTTCCCTAGAACAAGTTGGGGCACGTGGCTGGAACCTCCCAATACCGCGATCCTCGCAGAAAGGCGATTCACCGATGACCCGGATCAAAGTGTGGGGCCTTTTGGAATAGTCCAATCTGCTCCTCTTGCACGATCGACGGTCCCAATTTGGGGTCGGTACGAACACGTACGTTCTGTGCTTTTGATGGGTCAACCCCAAAAAAGAACTCCGCTTGTGGCCAAGTAGCTAGCTGGCCATCCTAGCTAGCAAGTGAGAACTCGAATCAGATTGTTGCAATACAAGTGCTTGATGCTCCTTCAACTGAATGACTTGTCTCCTTACCCAAACCCGTTGCACTCCCAAAAACTTTCTTGGCGACGGAAAGCGCCCCATCCATCAAGGAACATCCTCTTAGTGTCAGCTGATAACGTGTATACAGTGTATACTGTATACTTGTATGTTACTCACAGCTTTGCCGCAAACCTTCCCTCCCACAGCATTCCATCGAAAGCTCCGAACACCCCGATGTGATCGCAGATCCGCTCGTGCGTTGTGAGCGCTGTGGGTTCGGCAAACCACTTCTGTAGCAACACGCCGTAGGTACAGGCGACCTGCGCACCTTCTTCCATGAGTGTGGCAAAGGTACTGTAGATCAAGGCCATGTCCTCAAGTTTAGCCACGAAGTGGTGGACAGACCCGTGTCAAGAAAGAATGATTGTTTTGACACCAAAAGCGAGGAGGCCCAATACAATCCAGTAAAATCCACTGCTTAGTAATGATGATGTTCTTCATCTTGAGAGGCGTACGGGTTTTAGCAGCCAAATGAGGGGCCTCACTTAGGTGGCGCCGAATTGTAATCGTCTTAGCTTGAGCTGGAGTTCAAAGTAGCAAATCTGTTCCATTGACAGCATTTCAACACCTTTCTCTGGATTCTGTTTGTTGGGTAGCTGCGAAAAGTGAATAGGAATAGAACAAAATCTCCAAACCACAATTTTTTTACTAATACTAGTAACAAGAAGCTACGAACGGGCTCCTGGCCTCGCGAACCGAACGGAGCGTTCGGACGCGAACCGAACGGGGCGACCCTGGCCGGAGCAAGGGCATCGCATACCGAACGGACGCGAAAGCTTCGTGATCTTTCCACGATCAACTTTTGACCTAGGCCCCTCCCATCTAGCTCCAAGTCTCCACCGGCGCCTGCAGAAAGTCCTCCGCCTGCAGACCGTCGGGGCGTCGGACGACGGACGTCAGACCGAACGGACGGACCAGGTTGGACATCACCTCTTTGAAAGAGAACAACGCTCATGTGTCGGGTGATGCAAATGGAGGGGTCATTTGACCATGTGGATGTTGGTTTGGAGCCCATTGAGAAACTCAGGTCTGGTGTCCAAACACATGAAATTCGACTCTGATCAGTCTCGAATCTCGGTTCCAAAGCACGCTGTTCCCTGAGGACTTTCACGTACCAATTTACAAACCCCCGCGCCATTGGACCTCGTTCTCTCTATTTCGGACACCCCGTTGGACCAGACCTTCCAGAACCCTCGTTCGCTCTATGTCGGAAACCCACCTTGGCGGCCTTCTCTGGATACATCGCCAACTCCTCGCGCCGGTCCAACGTCACCAAGGGCGTCTTTCTCAGCAGCTCCTGGTCCAAATGCTTGGCGTTGCGGCCGAAGACCAGGCTCAGAAAGCCCGCGCGCGAGTGGCCTCAGACTCGGAATGAGAAGAAGAAGAAGAAGACCGAGGTTTTCGCGGTTCTCGGGTCTCACTTGGACCATCGCCCGGCCGTCCCAAGCTTGTGAGTAGCAAATCATGGTTAAAGTGTAAGGGGAGTCTTGACTTGGAGGACACACCTAAGCGAGTCAACGCCTCATCATCTGATTGTCATGTTTTTACAGCGGATGGCTACCTGAGACTGAGAGAAGTCTCAAACATGAAGATTGAACTCGCAAGCACATGTTTTGCCATTAAAAGAATAACAAAATTCGAGCTTATCATACTTCATCCTCTTCTTCTAGCAACATAACACAAAACCAAATTCTCTCTGGTCGATTGCAGGCACTCTCAAGTCTCTGCACATTGAAAACCCACTCCCCCCATTCCCGGAAACCGATCTCAGCTGCTTCAAACCGGTCAATGCCTGGTCACCGGTCTCAGTCTGGTGGCCAGAAACCAGCCAACATCCCACCGAGCCGCTCATCTTGATGAGCGTAATCATCACCTTCAAAACGTCCAGCTGGCCTTGATTCACATCCACCAGGTCGATCTCTTTGGGAGAGATGGCCAAGAGCAGCGTCAAAAAGGTGAAACTACCTGCCGAAAAGAAGCTCCACAAAAGCCTGCAGTGAATTTGTTTTGTGGATTTCTACTTGGGCCACGTGTGCATGCAGTGAAAACAATCCCCTTGATTCCAGGTGCGTAAAATAAGCGCTTCGAATCCACAAGGTTTGGCAAAAGTGTCGCTGATTTTGCCAATGCTTACATCCAATCTGCTACACTGCTACAGCCAAGGGCCACCGGCCACCTTTTCGGTACCATGCATTTTGCCAAGAAATCCCACCTGCAATGGCGATGAACTTGTCCACCTCCGTCCCAAAGGCGCCCCGCAAAAAGGGATCCGTCAAGATCTCCCCGGCGAGAGCCTCCAGGAAGAGTTGCCGCTCCGCGTGCGCGGGATAGACCCAGGCAGCTCCGTCATAATCATATTCGCTCTCCAGCGAGGAGGGCTGCAGCAGCGCGTTCTCCGAGCAGTCAATGGGAAGGTCGAAGCCGCCCACGCGAGGCACCAGGGCGGCCACATGCGCGAGAAAGATGGAAACAAACATCCATCCGAGTACTTCTGAGCCTTAACCCTTTGTCAAAATCGGTTGACAGTAGACCGAGACCAACAAATCAACAGGTTGATCTGAGATTTTTTGGTTGCGACATTCAGATAAAATGGTTGCACGCCGTGGATGTATAAAAAGCTTTATGCCGTAGATGGCTGCGGTAGGCAAATGGTTCACCGGATGTGCAATGGTTCACCGATCCCCAGAGACCAGTCCCGGAGCGAGGAGCTGAAAGAGGTCAATTGGTTAAAGGGAACATCGACAGCCTTCACCCCCCATTGAGAAACTGGAAAGCGTGAACCATCCAGCAACGCAAGCTCACAAAGTGCTGCCCCTGCCACGAAATCTGCACTTTGAGGATCGCCTGCCACGAAATGTTCGCTTCATGCGGCAGCTCTGACAAGGAAGGCGTTTCGTCGCAAGAACGCGTCCAGAGCCAGAGACAACATGCAGACACCAAAATGCAGCTTTCGCGCAAGACTTCCCCCGATTTCTGAAAACGAGAAATGTGCAGAAAAGTCACGATTCACTGCACCTGTCACGAAGTTAGAGCGCGTCGAAGATCACCACCTGCGGCTGCCACAAAACTGCATTTCGATGTAAAGCCGCTCCGATCCCCTGCGCCTGTCACGAAAAGTCGACTTTGGACCACCAAAACACGAGGTTTCGCTTGCGCCTGCCACGAAAAGTGACCACCATGTCTAAAAATGCGCGCGGCGCGACAACGAGAGCGCAGTCGTGTGAATGCACTGTAAATTGCAGCGAACTCGCCGCACACGACCGCGCAACACCTCGATTAGACACCGGTCCTTAACCGCTACCGCAAGAACCCATAGTGTGTCCACACTGTTTTAGGAAAAATCAATGTATAAATATATATATATACATATACACACACTAGATTTTATTTCACGTTAAAAGTATAGACAATTAACTAAAGCGCAATTCGAAGTCTTCCTAATATATTTCAAGTGGGTTTATAAAGTCCAATGTGGATTGCAACCCTAAAGCGAACGATAAAAAACTATATGCAAACATATTCTAAACATCACACCACTAAGATGATTGCAGTGAAGGTCTTCTGGATCTTTTCTTCGAACATGAAATCACGACGCTCCAGAAGGCTTCCGCATCTTTCGATCCTTCTCAACGAGGCAGATGTTGCGCCAGCAACGCAGGAGGCCTACATCATAAAAGGGCGCCAAAAAGGGTGCATCATTTGCGAAGAGGCCTTGGAGGAGCAATGTGATGGAGGCCATCGCTGGTAGGTTGGAGGCAATCGCTAGAGTAGGTTCGAGGCCATCGCTCTTAGGTTGGAGGCCATCGCTTTTCGGAGGCCATTGCTATTAGAAACAAAGAAAAGAGAAAAGGAAGAAAGGTCCAATATAATTGCCATGGAAGAGTCCTTGGAGGAGCGATGTGATGAAATAGATCGCAGTTCCTGGACGTTCTTCTCCCTTCTGGTGCATGGGCTCGAGACATTCTTCGTCAGTGTAGGAAGGTAGACCGAGGTCTTCCATGTAGTACTGTCCCCCCGGCTTCAGCGATGGATACAAACTCAAAAACGTGGTGATTAAGTCGGAGTGCCGGTGTGAGCCGTCATCCACCACAATGCTCAACAGTCCTCCAGGGCAATCGCTTTCGAGAACGTCGTGCTTCAGTCGTTCCAATTCCACCACAGCGCCGGCATCCACCACGTGCAAGCTGTGTAGTTCTGCTGCCGCACCCAGCTCGGCGACAGGTTCCTCACACAGGTGCCGTTGTTGTCCAAGACGTGCACTTTCGCACCCGGGAAGATCACGGGCCAAACGGCTGCAGACAAACCTCCACCCCCAAAGTTGCAGCCGAAACCGATTTCCAAAAAGCAGCCAGGCTCGGAATGATGGCTCAAATCACGAGGCAGCGTTCTGTGATAGAGCAGCTCATACATGTGGTATGTCACTTTGTCTGTTCTTCGCTTCAACGCTTCAGCAAAGAAGGGATGTTGTGCTTGCAACCGCCCTCCCCAGCGACCATAATTGCGGGCGGCAGTGAGATGGACGGATGTGGAAGTCCAGTAAGAAAGTGCTTTCTGTGCAAGGCATCCAGCTGGGATGCAGCACACCTCATGCGTATCACTCAGGGCAGGCATGGGCCCCGGCTTCTTCTCCCAGTGCTTTTGCTGCGTTGCAAAGAAGAGTCGCCGGAGAAGTTCCAGCACCTCTCTCTCCAGCGGCGGCCGAAGCGGCACAGCCAAAAGTGAGTTGGGCGGCAGCTCATCCCACACACGTTTGAGTGGCTCAGTTCCAGCTGCCTGAAGGGGTTCGGTCATCACCAAGAGAACGCCTTGGCTCACGTTGGCATGTCGCGGGAGGCGCAAGTCATGGTAGCTACGCTCCAAGTGCAGCAGCTTGTCCACTGCCACAATGGGCTCTCCAAAGCTCCTGAGGAGCGCCTCAAGCCAAACATGGCCTGAGGAAACTGCGCCAACCGAAGGTAATATGACGAGGAGGCCGCACCATAGCATGCTTTGTAGAAGCCACTTCTTTTTGACTAGTACACAGTTTTCAGCCAAACACCAGAAGCAACTTCTTTCTTGTAGCAACTTGTAGGCCTCATGAGGTTTCATCACGGCAAAACATGCGGTTTCTAGGCCTCATTGCATTGATGTTGCTCGACCATGAACAAAAGATAGGTCGCATGGTTAAACATCTCGTTCACGGTCGTGGGTCGAAGCTAGTCGCATGGTTTACCTCCTTCGGTCAAAAAGAACATGCCTTGTCAACGGGCGACCAATGCAAACAGATCAAACGGTCGAGGGGGAAATGGCCACGGCAAGCCGACAAGCACATAGAATAGAGGCTGTAGCTAAGGGTGTTACAAATTGCTCGCTCGCTGCGAATGCGATGTTTTACTTGTGTTGAGTGAAGCAAAGGCAGTGTTCCAAAAGTGGGCACTGAGACATACTGAGACCGACCCAATTGGTTGACCGGTGCATCCCTCTCCATCTGCGCCTGTCGACACGTAGCGTGCCATCACATCGCCCTGGGTTCGTTTGGGCGAAACGGCGCTACGAACGGAGCAGGGCATCGCTACGAACGTAGCAATTCAGCGACGTTCGTAGCGATGGCCTCCAACCTAAAGAGCGATCAATCAAGGATTTGGGGGAGATCTATCTTGACCATTTTGGACGAGTTTTGACCTTTCTTTCGCGCAGACCAACCAAGAAACCTGGAAGTCCAAAGTCGCTTTACCCTAGTTAAGTTGAAAAGAACTGCTCCTTGTGGGGTAATATGCACATGAAATGAATACTATTCTTGCTGCAATTTGCTGGACAAAGCAACACCCCAAAAAACACGAGGCTGCAAGGCCCCAGCTGACCTCCAGAATTCTGACCATGACTTGTTGACCTTGGCTGTCACAAGGTGTGCCCTGATCTCACTGCTCTGAGGGTGGAGGCCATCGCTATTAAGTTGGAGGCCATTGCTAGTAGCACACTATATGAGACCTTTCTTCCTTTTCTTTTTTCTTTGTTTTATTAGCGACTAGCGATGGCCTCCAACCTCCTCTCGATGGCCTCCCCTGATCTCACTGCTCTGAGGTGAGGTGAGGTGTCCCCAAGATCCATAAACCAATCCATTTTCCTGATTCCCTGCTTAGTAACTCTTGCCCAGCCCCCATGGATTCAACCAACCATCCACCATCCATCCTGAGCATCCTCATCTCTTGCTAAGGCCAAGTGATCTGCCTACGTGCACTAGTGTCACTAGTGTTCATTCAAGCGCCCATTTGTGGCTTGGGCTATGGTTGGCATCAAGGTCTTCTAGAAGGATTGATCTGCTCGAACAATACTGAGGTTATCTATTCAATCATTCCAAAATCCATGCCTATTCTCTGAGCCTATTCAACCAACTTCAACCCTGGGATTCGAACCAGCATTTATTCAACAGCCTTTACCGAACAACCCGTATTCTACTAAGGGTTTTACCACTACAAAGCCAGGCCAACCGTTTTTCCATGGTCTTTGAAGGCTAGGGTCAACCCATTCTTGAAGGCACATGACAGTATTGGACCTCAGTGAGTCATGGAAAAAAAATCCGGCGCTTCCCCCTCACCAACCGCTCGGGTGTCGCGCGACGGTCACGTGGCGCGAAGACAAGATGGTCGAAGGAATCCTCCTGACGGAGCCCACCGAGCCCACTAGTAGCGATGCCCTTGTTACGTTCGTAGCGTCCAGTTTCTTGCCTGCAAAAGACCTCTTAATCGAAAGGGTGTCCGGATCAGTTGTTGGCATCCGACAGCTTGGTTCCGGTGAAGTTGCCGTGGGTCTTTGCCCAGCTTTGTTGATTCATCCCCCAAGGGCACGGTCCAGGTTTTGACCTGCCCTTTTGCCCCACTGACGCTGGGAGCGCCACCTGTGGCCTACTCGCGCCACCTGGGGCCTTACTCGTGGATCCTTGTCTTTGGGTTCTGCATGTCATGCTTTCGGGGGGGCGACCTGCGGGGCTTTGTATTTGACCAACGCCTTTCGTGAGCGCCGGGACGCCGGCTTCGCCGAACTGCCGGACGCCGGCAGTTAGAGCGGACGTGAAGACCTGGGTCCACCGATGGACAGGACAGGTAAGAAAGATGTTTTGTTCAGACCTTGCTAGGACAAGGCGTCACTGTGTTCCTGGGCAATGGACAAATGACTGGAATTCTGGGATCAAAGGTGTGCTATTCGATGTGCAGCAAAATACAATGGAAACAGGAGCGAATAAGCAAAGTGCTAGAAGGCCTTGAGCTTGAGAGGGAGAACCCAAACAGTTTCGACGGGCAAAACGAAATCGGCGAAGACAAAGCATGATAGACTCAAGTTCTTCGCTACAACGGTTGGAAGCCTCTCCAGTTCAAACAGCTGAACCGACAAGATCGTTTTACCACACGGCACGTTTCGATTCCAGCAGGGCAACGCAACATCATGGTTGGTTAGGGTCTAACCTTCACCCAATCACTTGAACCTTGGTGATCGCTCAAAATCGATGATGCTCTCCTTCCTTCCGCGGATCAGGCCGCACCGCGTTGGGTTGGGCGCCGATCATCTCACCGGCCTCATGGATTCTGGACTGATCAACATCTTGTCACCAGCTCAGGTTAAACTGGGCATTGAGTTTTGAATCAAACCATCCAAGTCTTTGGAAACGCCTGTCTACTTCTCTAGGCAAACCCACTGGCTCTTGTCTGGCTTGAAGTGTGTCATCACACAGCAGCAGAATGGTGCCTTGGTCATTTACTGGTGCCAGAAGCAGCTGCATCGGCCACATTCCGCTTCTCCAGAAATCGGCGCTTGCGGAAGAGCCAGTCTTCGACAATCAAAAAGTCCAAGTCGGGCAACTCGTCAAGCATCCCTCAGAAACGCATTCTTCATAAACTCAGAGGCTGTCCCCATCTCACGTCTTCCCCTTCACGAACTGGGCTTTCGAACAGAAAAACCGGCTGTCTTGGAGTCCCTGCGAAGACTTTCCTTCACCGTGTTGACAATGGGCTTCCCCTTTGTATTGAAGCTGGTGTTGATCAATGCTGCCTGAGTCAAGTTGCGCATTGAATGAAGGCCCAAAAACAACACTGGAATCAGCATGTCAAGGCTGAATCATCTGAAGTACGGTCAAAGTTTATGATGTGCACATTTTGAAGGCACTTTCATCTCTTTCTTCTTTTTGAGCCTTGCTACCAATCCCGTGTGGCGTCCCACAGCCAAAAGCAAGGCATGGATCCAGGCTTCGTCAAATTGGCTGACGGATTGATGTCGAGCAGTGCCATCCAAGTGGACCAGTGATGGGAAGCTCTTCTGAATCTCAGGGCGAACCCTGGGTGCCATGGTCCTCAGATCCGCGCAGTCGACCAAGTGAAAAGAACGTTCGAGGTTTGGAAGGAAAGTGGAAAAAAAGGCTGGGATTCCTTTCTTGACCTTTTGTGTGGAACAAAAGCCTTTGTTCTTTCCAGCTAGCAGCATGAAGGGTGATCGAACATCTCGTCCAAACACTTGATTCAGCGCTTCCTGCAGTAGGAAGGATTATGCCAGCTTGACCCCAGTTTCAGCATTCTTGCGTCAACTGCTTGAATTCCAATGTTGGTGCTCACTTTTTGATTGGCAAATGGCACGTCAACCAACCATGTGCAGAGTCTACAAGAGTTCCTGATTCCTCGGGTCACATGTAAATCCGATGAGATCAAACGCTGAAAAACCTGCGTCTTGCATTCATAGCCACTGTCCGGGTCTGTGGCCGGACAGTGTGTCTGGGAAAGGCCCGGCCCATGGCCGGCCGCACCCGGCCCCACGGCCCTAACGCGACAAGGCGACGAGGTCAACTGTCAGATTGTTTGGGGAACAAAAGGAGGATAGACAACAGGACACCAAGAGCGGACAAAAGGGGACACAGGGTTCTAAAGACTGTGGCCAGTGCTTTTCTCCTTAGGAGAGAACCCCAACAGTAAACTCTTTAATTAGAAAAAAACAGGAAAGCCACCAGCAAAGGAGGACGCTTTCTTGTCCAAACGCGGAAAAAACCGTGAGAAAACCGGACGTCTTCGCTCCCCTCCCCCCAGTACTCTCTCCTCCGCGATCATGGGTGCAACAGGACGATACCATTGCCTCGCTTTGAGGCGGTTCATGCGCTTCTTCATGTCGCCGTCTGGAACTGCCAGGAGGGAACGATGGCCCAAGGCCCGGGGGCCAAACTCCTGACGACCTGGCGACCGAACGACCCGGGGCCGGTTGCGACCTTCTTCAGGAATTGGAGGCCATCGCGTCAGCATGTGGAGGCCCCAACTGGTGACCTTTTGTCGGATCAACCAGCCTCGGACGACTGCCACAATGGGCTTGTCAGCAGTGTGGTTCCGCTGCCTGCAGAAGTTGGCAGGTGCAAAAGAACCAGAGACTTCGAGTGTTGCTGATCTGTTTACTCGAATTTCGCAGAAGGGCACATGCCAGATTGTTGATTCCGAGTCACAACTCCATGATGCGAAGAATCTCTTGCAGTGGGAAACTTGATCTTCTACCCAGACGCGAGGGGTCGGGCCCGAATCCTTTGGAGGGGTCTGGGGTCTCAATTCCCCAGGTTTTGAGGGACCAGTCGGGTTGTTTGGAGCGTCTAAGTTTGTGAACCCTCTGTCCATCCCCTCTCGCAGCTCTCCCTGCCCCACAATGACGGGTCGGCCTTCGCCAGACCTCGCCGCCCGCCAGGAGCTCGGCCAAGTATTCGATGCCTCCGAGCTTGGAGAGCCGTTGGGCCCCTCGCTGCCGGGCGTGTCGAAGCACCAGCGCCTCGTCCCACAAGGGAAAGCCCAAATATTGCAGAGGCTGGCGAACCTCAGAGCGTCGCAGATCTTCTATCTTCGATGCACGCACTCCTGCTTGCAGGCGAAGGAGACTGCCCGAGGCTACCCTAGGTGCTGTGGGTTGAGACAAACCATTACTTGTGAGACAAACCATTACGTGAAAAGACCAGTAGGGAGACAAGACAGGAATATAAAGGAATCATGTTGGGACGCCTTTTTTCGTCTGCAAATTATTATGACCAGTGCTTGCCGATGATGACCAGTGATGGACGGTCTATGAAAGATTCGTCACTTGCTTCACTGGCGATGCGAAGAACAAATCCGATTGCTCAAGCCATAGACTCTTGGAGGTGCAATGGACCATAAAGCTCCCAGGCTGAGACCACTGTCATTGGGTACCGGAGGCACGTAAAAGCCCAGTGGTGCCGCCGTGTCTGCAGTGAAGGTGTCATAGATGCGCTGATTGGCCTTCAGTTTTTATCCTCCAGTTTTCTGGAGGGCTCACGAAAATGAAAAAACGGAACGAAGCGAGCCCACCCCAGTGAACGAGAACTCCTGGAGACAGGTGGTCTCCTAACACGCCGGAAGCCGTAACACAAGAAAGGTTAGACTCAGCCCCTGCAGGTCAACCAGCAGGTCAACCGGCCCCCACATCCAAGCCTTGACATCTGTGGGCCCGGTTTTGAGTAGAGCTGATATGAAACGGACACGAAGTAGAATGGTGAACTCCGGCTGAATAAAAACAACTCACGTTCGTGTGACATCTCGAATCAGTGCTGCCAGCTTGCCAGAACATTGAGGGCACAGCCTCCGGTCAGCACAAGACCTTCAACCTGCCCATGACCTTGGCTGGAGAAGTGAAACTCTGTACTACCAAGGCTGGGACATAAAGCGAGACTTGCTGACTACAAACTTACACCTGCTGATGACCATCCTCCAAAAGTACAAGATAAAACATCTAGATGTGGCAAGTGGCCAATGTGCTGGAGAAGTGCGCCTACACGCGCATGCACAAAAGCTTCGAATTCAGACTGGATGGTCGCTGCCAATTCACGTTGGCTTTCTGCAGATTCACAGGCTGCTTTGACTAGAGCAGGGGGATACTTCTGAGCATAGCTTCCAACTCCAATCCAAGCATTGGAAGCCTCAATGAAGAAGCGCACGGAGTGACGCAGGTCTTCTCTAGGAGCTGCCACAGCTGCATAACCCATCAATTTCCCTGCCCAACTCAAGGTTGCAAAAGGATTCTTTTCAAAGTAAAGTTCTTTTGACGCAAGCAATTCGTCGCTGAAGTTCATGTCACAAGCAAAGAACTCGTCGATCGGTCTGCCCGTGACTTCCGGCAGTAAGGATGCCAACGCATTATAAGCATGGCCCAAACTGTAGTCGAGTTGTGCAATCCTTTCCAGTTTGTCGAAGGAGCCCACATAGACGTTGAAGTGTCCATCATTTCCCGCCGAGTCGTAGGACACAATGAGGGCCGAGCGGAAGGGTGATGAGTGGAACGCTGAGAGAGCATGTGCTTCATGATGATCAACCAAGTGCCACTTCTCGATGCCTGGTGTGCAAGAACTACACAAGAAACACGGATGTGCTAGATCCGAACGAACGCGGATGAATCAGAATTAGAGATCAGTGGTGGTACGAGAGGGTTTTATGGGAGTAGATGAAAGCAAGTATGCCCCTGCTTTTAATTGGAACGACGAAGCAACACAAATGCGCTGGGCGGCTGAAGAATTGCTCTGCTGCCATGATCAACATTGCTTGCTCAGTCTCATGTACTGGAGGCGCAACGAGAACCGCATGTTCAAAACGCAAGGGCCATCCATCTTCAAAAACACATCGTGTCTGGACTTTCTCAAATGCCAGATTCCAGCTGGCTTGAAATTGAGCTGGATCGCTCAGAGGCGGCCGGTAATATCCTCAGTTGAATCATCCGTGGGAACCGCTCAAATGGTCTTTTCAGTTTGTACGATGTAGCGTGCTCTACGCTTAATTCACATAGCTGCCGTTGTAGCTGAACCAGGTCGCTAGATCAATTGGTTTGATGATTAGGCCGGACGTGGGTATTCGTTTTTGGTCAATGCAAGGTCTTTGGACAGCGTACAGGCCAGATCCATCGCTTCTAGGTTCTGAGAACCGGGATCTGCACGGTAAGGGGCCAACACGATGTGTTCCAGCGAAGCAAGCTTGGGGGTTCTACAAACTAGTTTTTAGGAACAAGAAGCTACCAGTACCTAGAAGCTTCCTTGGGAATCGTTCACTGGGAATCGTTTCACCTGCAACAAGAAGCTTTCTAGTATGTCTTTGAAGCTTTCTAGGAACAAGAAGCTACTATATAGAAAGTCTTTGAAGCTACTAGTAGGTCTTTGAGCGCCTACTAGGAACAAGAAGCTACTAGGAACAACGGGCATCGCTACGAGTACTAGGAGCAAGGACGCTACTAGGGGCTCTTGGCCTTACTACTAGGAACAAGAAGCTACTACCTTAAGTTTCCCCCAGAAGATCAGGAAATCATCAAGGCTCAGGCTTCAAGGAAGCTCCCCTCCGCCCTAAAGGCGGCGGGGAGCTTCCTTGAAGAAGCGCGAGTTTTTCCGCGTCTCAGCTAACCTAGTAGCTAACTTCGTCTCGCAATTGAGTAACCGCCTGCCTACTTAATTTGAGTAGGCAGGTGGGGGAGGTCGGCCCCAAAAAATACACACCAACAAACAACCCTTTTCTTCCGCCCAAGGAGCGCTGGCCGAAGAGCCGCTCCAGCTCCAAGACGCATTGCACGCGTCCCCGGTAGCTCACCGCCATGCTGGCATCATGGCCCATATGAAGTGCTAAGACCGCTCCTTCACTGGGCTTCACTGCTCGAGTCACCATGGCTCCCCTCAAAGGCATTTGGCTCCCGCTCAAATGAAGATAGGACGTTGAGCTTGAGGTGGGCACGGAGTGGTTGAAGGAAGAACCGAAGACCACATCCCATGCGCGCTTCACTTTCAGGTCTCGTACAATCCTGGCTGAACTGGAACACGACTCGCTGAAGTTCGAAGTGAAACACGACTCGCTGGTGGAGAGGGCTTTCTCTTTCAAGACTGAAAACACTGCTTGTGGCAACAGTCAAGAACAGAATGATCCGTTTTGTGCCATCAAGTCTGTGTTGCGTGTAGAGAGAAGTCGACGAGAAGTCGACGTCGTTCGCTTGGAAAGAACTCTGTTCTCTGGCTTCCGAGGATCGCATTGAGACGCGATGTGTCAAGACCATTTGCGCGTAGAAACGCCCGAGTCAACTTGCTGACGTCATCGAGCGCGGGGCGCCAGGTCAGTGGAAGCTGAATCTCGCCAGCCTTGGCAACACAGCTTCAGCCGGCCAAGGGGTCACGAATTGAGGCACTGCGCACCACAGCTGGGTGGGATGTAGCATGCTACATCGGAGAGGAATTCGATTTGCAATGCCCTATATACCAGACTCACCAGACACCTGTTTGCATCGACTGAATGAACAGATTGCCATCGATGCAACAAACAACTTTGGAAGCGGGATGGGTCAAGAACACCTCCTACAGCTGCAGTTTCCAGTCACTAGAACAAGAAGCTACTAGGGGCTCCTGGCCTTACTACTAGGAGCAAGAACGCTACTAGGGCCTCCTGGCCTTACCACTAGGAACAAGATGGAACAAGAAGCTACTAGGAACAAAGGGCATCGCTACATTCAACGAAACGGCGGGCAAATGATGGGTGAAGGGCCAAACGACTCAGTCTCACCTTTGTCGACTTGCAAGCAGCAACAGCAGCAAAATCTGAGCAGCTCCCTTCTACTAAATCACTAGGTCTTCAACACTCTAAGTGGCCCTTTGCCAGGATTTGAAACTGAACCATCGCCATTTCAACGGTGTTTTCTGCTAGCTGCTAGGGCCCACCACCTCCAGGCGAACATCGACCTGACGCCACCCAACCCCGGCCCGAAAGCCACACTCCGATTGGAAACAGGACAGGCGAACCAACCAGCCAGGAGGCATCAACGGAGATTTCCACTTCTTCAATGGACCAGGCCGCAGATGCCACAGCCAGAATGACATGCCAGAATCCCATGGCTCTTGACCGACAGAATTGAAAGAAGAAGACATGAGCTCAGTTTAACCGTTCAATATTTTTTTGCGCGCCTTTTCTGCTATGGCACTTGAGAGATGTGAGAGATTTGATCTGAGAGTTTCATTGCTGGACTCCACACAGCTCATGTGCCGCTGGACGCCGAACATATGACTGTTGAGCATGAAATTGAACGAATTCGAGGTGTTCTCGGAAGACATCGTGACTTATGGAGACCTTTCGCTCAAGGAAAGGTCGCCAGTCACCGTGAACTCTTGGGGGAAAGTAACTAGCTCTAACTTGTAAGATAGGCAAGAAGCTACCAGGTTGGAGGCCATCGCCAGTAGCAAGAAGCTACTAGTAACAAACTTAGATCCAACGCGACTGAACAGCAATTTCAACAGGGTCTCAGTGTCCTTATCGACCGGAACGCGAGATATGTCTGGAGACGGGGGACATACAACACATCGAGTGACCAATAGAACAGGGGCCATCGAGTGACCAATGCTTTTTCGGGGTTGGTGAAGAGATCCGAAAAACGGACGAGTGTTTCAATGGCCAAGTTGGCAACGGCGCCAGAAGAGCAAACTGAAAGAACTGATCAGCGATCCGCCTTGCCCACGATTGCTAGATGTTGGTCTCCTCAAGAGGTAAGTCCTCATCTCTTCCATCTACTAATGTTTGTTTACCCTGAGTATCTGTTCCAAAGGTTTCGTTGAAAGTGCGCTCCCTTTTTGCACGCGAACTGGCGCGTGCTTGAATTCAAAGAATTCCATCCGGGGTCACTTGGACACCCTGGCGTCAGGTCTTTCGAAGGTGTCCCATCGCATTCGTTGGACTCGAAGCTTTCTTTTGTTTCATGTAGTATTCATCTTGTGGACCTGGAGCTTGTTGCTTCGTCTCGCTTTTGACGTTTATTGGATGTCAGTGGAGTCTGCTTGAGTAGGACTAGGATGACTAGAATGAAGATCCCTCCGAAATGCGGGCGCATCCATGCAAAGCTTTTGGGAGGCTCTGAACAAATGCAAAGGCTCTGAAGCTGTGTTTCCTCAAGAGAAGGCTCTCAAATTGCGCATCCTTGCATGGATGGCCGCACGACCATGCACCAGAGAAATCTGGACATCCGCAGCAGCCTGTATTTGTTGAAAACCAAACTGTCTTCATCTTCACTGCTCAAATTCAATGAGTGAAAAGAAACCTGAACACAATTAGGTTGGCCATCGTTAGTAGAAACGAAGAAACACAGAATAGGCAGTTTGCTCATAAGTTGGAGGCCATCGCTAGTAGAAACAAAGAATAGGTAGTTTGCTCATAGGTTGGAGGCCATTGCTATTAGAAGCAATTAAAGAAAGAAAAGGACAAAAGGTCTAATATAGTTTGCTGTTTAGTACGTACTCTTCATGTTCATTTTCAACGCTGGCGGATGACCCGTGCTCTCCGGCCGCCACAGGCTCCAAGGGGCCCCGGAACACCGTCGTTCGGCCGAGCCGCTGGACGGCCGAGGACGGGCTGAGCTTGGAAGCGCTTCACGGGCGCGTGCGCTCAGCGCCACCAAGGGCGGCGGCGCTTCTTGCGAGTGGCGCCACAGGCTAAGGCGCGGTTCGCCTGCCTCTTCTTCTCCTTAAAGATGTGGCAATGACATAGAGGCTACGAACGGAGCGATCCGACGCTACGAACGACACTCCTGGCCGTACTACGAACGGAACGATCGGACGCGACGAACGGAGCAATGGAAGACGCTTGGAAACATGGGATCACCCGAATCAATTTGAATCAAGTCTTGCAGTGGCACATATCCTGTCGGCTGTGTCGGTTCTCCTTGAGCTGGTTCAGGACCTTCAGCTCGGCTTTGAAGGCTTCAAACTCAGCCTCAACTTGGTCCTCAGTCTCGCCGTGTCTGGCGAAATCGTTTTGCACTTGCATCAAGAGAGCATTGTTAGAACGTGCCGACGTGAAACGAGCGTGATTGAGTGCAGTTGTAGTCCAACGTGACGAAAAAGGAGCTAAAAGGAGAAGCACCCCAACTGCAGGATGGAGGCAGGCCATCGCTATTAGGTTGGAGGCCATCGCTCTTAGGTTGGAGATGGTTGGAGGCCGGAGTTTCACGGGCTGAAAAGGTCGCTGAGCGCAGCCTCCGAAATCTCCCGATCCCAGCCCAGCCCCTTAGCTCTCTTGGGAAGCCGAGCCATCAGCCGCTCCTGGCGGGAACTTTCTCGGAAGTCGCAACGAAAACAAGTGGCATGCCGTTCATTCTCTCTGTGTGCGTTCCATAAAATGACAAGCAAAAGGAAAGCATATGGCATAGTGTGTTGTTCCATACACAACACAAGTCTTCATTCAGTGTCTTGGGACGTACCATAGCTCACTCTGTCTTGGCGAAACACGGATCTTGGATTTCCCCGCAAGTGAGATGATCCACAAGTCGATCCACATCCGATTCACTTGGACCCGTCGAACACGAAAGAACGATCACCCTGGATGGATCGCGCTGCTTGGATGGGTCGAGGTCACACGTGCCGCGGCGCGCCTGCGTTTCGATGACCTCCTGCTGACTCTGCCCGGCTGCGGCCAACAGGGCGATGATATCCTGCACCGGTCGCCAGCGCCGTGGCACCCGCAAAACACCGCACGTCTCATGTTGCACCCGGCGAGTGGAGAACACAGTTCCGCAGTTCTACCATGTCGGTGTTCGGCGGTTTCTGCACGGAGGAGGGCGGCGCTGAGCTGATGCACTGAGCCCAAGACTTTCATCTGCACGGCCTTGAAGTCTTTCAAACCTGCAAAAGCTGGTCTTCGTGGGGGGCAAGGGATCTTCACAAAACAGCAGATCAACTATACATCCTGTCCAAATCAGCCTCCTTTTTCCGGTGCACATGAAACGAGTGGCCGCGCGGCCCCCGGCGCCCGGAGAATCGAATGCCTTCTTCCGACCGACAGGGTCACCCGTTGGTTGGTTTCGACCGGCTGGGGTCATTTCGGTTCTGCGTCTGTCGCCGTCCGAACCCCATCGTTGCAAACCTCGCCGCGCCGATCGCGTCCCATTGGAGCGCGGCCGGAGCGGTCATCGCGCCTTGCTTCTCAGGAGAGCTTCGCACCAAGCTGGGGACCACGGCTTCCAGCTCGTCGGCTGAGCGCGGTTGGAGGAGCGTTGGGGTCACAGTGAGGAGGACACGAACTTGAATTTCTACAAGGCTCTCCGTCAGTCTCTCTCCGTTCCTGGAGCTTTGTGGAAACTCGTCAACCAAGAGCTCACTCAAGCATCTGCATCACTTGCAATTGCGGGAACACTTGAAAACATGGGGAAGCCGATTGATGCTAATCTTTCTGACCAAACACCTGCAAAAACACCAGAGTCCCCTCCGTGTTTGAACCCAAATTAGTAGGCGGGCCTACCTAATGTTAAGTGTCCCGAAAAATCTATGAACCATATCACTAGTGCGAGCGCTTCTTCAAGGAAGCCCCCCCCCCGCCGCCTTTAGGGCGGGGGGAGCTTCCTTGAAGAAGAGCGAGCTATCCTGTGTCCCAAGTAGTAGCTTAAGTAAGGTACTAGCTACGTAATAACTAGGGAGGGGGGAGGGGAGCGGACAACCAAAATAACGTCGGCAGGGGGCGGCTACAAAGACTGGGCGCCCCGACCGATGAAGCCGAAGCGCATGTATTTCGACTCGGCGCCCTTCTTGAAGGAGTACGACACAGGTCGTAGCTGCCTCGTTGTGGGCCGGTCGTAGCCGCCGCGGCTGGTCGTGAAGCTGCGCTGGTTGGCGACCAAGTTTTTACGGTTGCAAGAAACCCCAAGGGCCGTGGGGTGAAAAAGCCGATTCAACAGCTTCATGAGTTGAGCTGCTCAAACATGTTCCCGCATCCCAACTGGGCCAAGTCGCCGAAGCATCCAAAGTGCACTGTCACCTGAAGAAAAATCAGATCGGCACCGGCATGAACAGCAAGCATACTCCTAAGGGGATGAGAAACATGATCATGGATTCGGGGTTTCAAGCGAGTTTTTCAAAAGAGACGCCCTTTCACCAGGAGAAACACGTGGTTCAATCACTACTCAAGTGGTGATCTTCCAACCGAACCAAAACAACTCCTTCACGGATTGATCTTCACTACGACGACGACAGCAACGACGACGCCCACCTCGAAGTCGGTCATCACCGGACTCCGCCTGCGCCGCGTCGTTGAGAGGAACCAGTTGCCGAGTTCCCCGTTCGGTTCGCGTCCGATGGCTCCGTTCGTAGCGATGCCCTTTGTTCCGTTCGTAGCTTCTTGTTCCGTTCGTTGCAGAGTTCCCATGTGGCTTGGGCAGGAGAGACTTGCTTTCCATGCGCTTTTGAATGCCCATCATTCCCTCTCTCATCGCGGAGAAGATCTTTTCTTCATTGAGCTGGAGCTGATTTTGCGAACTTCTATTTCCATGGGATCACGATTGATCACACAGAGCATTCTAGTGCTTGGCACTAACCAATCCTTTACGGCACAGTTTTGGTGTTTTTGAACAGGGTTTGTTCTTTGGAATCTCGTTAGCTTCTTAAGAAACTACTAGGAACAAGGGCATCGCTACTAGTAACGACGGGCATTACTACTAGTAGCATTCTGACTACTAGTAACAATAAAGCTATTAGGGGCTCCTGGCCTTACTACTAGGAGCAAGAACACTATTAGGGGCTCCTGGCCTTACTGCTAGGAGCAAGGACGCTACTAGTAGCATTCTGACTACGACCGTCACAAGAACCCATACGGCAGATGACTATAGTATACTATAGTGACTGCGTTCCTTTCTTCCCAAAAGGACCGGTTGTGGCCTGAAGGCCTTGCAAGGTCCTCCTGAGAGGCTTGATGTCCTTCTTCATTCTTCGATCCCTCAGAGGCAAGACGAACGGCGACCCGCCGGTCCCGCGTGTCGCGTGTCGCTTTCGAACACCATGGATGCCACTGGAACTGGCTTCTGAACAAACCAGTGATATCACTTGACAACATCAACACCCTTGTTCTTGAAACACCCT